GCTTGGTGTCAATTTACTTAATGCCTTATCACAGGTCAAAATCTAGCTCCTTGACTAGCAGTGATGAACAGTCCGAAACAGTTACTCTATAAACTTCCCCAGGCATCACTCTGAATCGACTGCACTGTGGTGGAGTTGCAGATGATTCTGCTGGATTCATTCAAAGCTGTATTTCCCTGCAATAATGTTTTCTAAAATTTGATACATAATCAAATATATTTTAATATTTAAATATGCAAGTACACAAGGATAAGGTTCCTCCATGTATTCAGAGATTCTCATATGTAGCATGAGATCCATATTTAGAAACAAATATAACACAGAGGGAAATGTGCAAACATCTTGAGATGATTAAAGTCACTTTTATTGGCTGTTTTTACCTACTATGCCTCCATTGGTTTTAACTGTCATTGTATCACCACCTAGTGGCTACAGATGGGCATTTCCCCTACAAAGAACAGATTACAGCCATTCCAAACTGACGTTAACATGGTCTCAAATGTTTGCTTTCAGTTTTGGAGTCCATATAATTGATTCTGTTAGGCAGCATAGAGACAAGATAAATATTGCTTATCATCATCACTCTTAAGATTGTTAGCAAAAAGCAAAGGATGCTTTCACAAAGAGAAACATGCAAAGTTTTAAAACATTTAAGACTTGTACTTGCAAACAGAATGTAACTCTCAATTATCTTCCACATAAACCGTGTGCACTGTGCATATTAATTCACAACTAAATATTCCAGCCCCATTTCCATTCCCACAATTTGGCAGCACCATTTGTACTTTTACAAAAGTGGGAGGAAAGGCATTTTCCAGCCTTTTATATAAGCGTAACTGAATCTTATTACTGTTCAGTGAGACAGATGATTTTCCGCTGTTAGGAGGGACAGCATGCTTTCTTCTATAGAAGAAGAAGGAGGAGCTTTCTCTGCCACTACAAGCCATGACAACACAGCAGTCTGCAGCTCTGTGTTCTTCCTCATTGGATACTACCTCTAAAGTGAAGTAGCCTTTCTTGCTGTTCAAATTTCTTCAAGGCCCTGAAAGGTGATTTGATGGAAACAACCTGGAAACTCAAGGACTGTTTGGCCAGACTGGAAAATAATCCAAATGCAATACAAAGCAAAACAAACAAAAACAAACAAAAAACCCAGAAGGCAACAGCAAATAGTTCCTTTATGCTGCTGAGAAAATGCTATGGATGAAGTCACCAGAAGCTGAAAGAATCTTTACCATTTTTCCTTTACTTTTACCAGTCTTATATTCATAAATAAGTTAAAAGGCATGGGGGGAGAGGGATTGATGTTATATTTGACCTGTATACTGTAATTTGTAATGTCAATAGGTTATCCAGATACATGCTGGGATGTAAGAAATCAAGAACATATGAATGAGAAAACCATGTTTGTCTCAAACAGTGGCAATTCTTTTCATCATTTCCCTTGTTATTTATTTACCACTAGAAATCTTTGTCCATGACCTCATGGTTCATTGAAACTGCTGAAATCTCTAGTTTCTGGTCAATCTCCCAAGACAATCTGTGTCTTAGGATGTTACATTTACATATAGTGCTGCATTTTACATATCCATATCTCTGTTGCTATTACTGGAAACTTTTACAAATTATGAAGTCACCCCACCCTGTAATTACAGTAATTACCAACAATTCAGTTTAGTCTTTGAATGCCTTATGTACGGGATGCATGCATTAGTGCACAATGTTACCAGATCCACTAATACAATCGTGTTACTTGTTTCTGAAAATCTGAACTCTTCCTTACTCATGTCAGTTCTGTTCTTCAGCTGACAGAATGGCTGCTGTAACTTATATGTGGTCAGTCACAAAGGGAAGGGGAAGCAACCAGTCAAATGATTCCAGAAAAAGTATAAAAACTGTAGGCAACACATTTCTCCAGCACCCCTTGAAATATCCCAAAGCTACTAATTAGGAGCTGTGCCGGCAAAGATGCTCACAGGTTGTCTACATAGAGAAATAGCCAATCTTTCCACGCTGAAGAGCTCCCACAAAGAGTAGAACTCAGGCAAGAGTGTGCTCTTGACCCAGGTGCCCCAACCAAGCATTGTCCAGATGAGCTGGAGCTGTGGCTGCTAGATTAACAAGCTAGCATGGCTTTCTGCACAACAGAAAGGTTAATAAAGAAACTGTTAACTTTGTAACTTTAAAATTTCAATAAAATATTATTTTAAAAAAAAGGTGAATAAAGAAACCGTTCAGTATAAACTGGTTCTGTGTTGTCACAAATGATATATTTAAACATTAGTTAAATATGAGAAGTGCTGTCTGATACTTCTGGGGGAAAATATCCTTTTTATGGCAACAGGGGTGGTAGCAAAGCTACCTTTTGGGTCTTCATTTTTCTATAAAATTGCATCAGCATAGATTATTCTGATATACTGAAATTCTGGCAATCTTGCAGAGTTGATCAAACTTGCTCATTCTTAAAATTAAAGAACTGAAACTGTAAGTATATATTTGTATGGGAGTGTTTTATGACCTACTGATCTAGCATCATCCCCCAAACAAAACTATTTTTGTTCCTAAAATGTATACCTTTAATCTATCTGAATTTATTTCACTGCCAGCTGAAACTCGTTTATGCAGCTGAGGAAATATTTCAAAGTGGTATATGTATTTTCAAGAACAATTAAACTGCCTCAAATAACCCACTTGGACACAGAAAGTAGTTTAACATCTAAATATATGGCTTTTCCACAAGTTTTTTTTTAAAGTAATGTCTACAATAACTATTTCTAAATTAGAATTTAAAACCAACTGAGACATATGATTTAATCTTAATGTCTAATAATAAAACCCTATCTGATACTCAGTGATGGAATTTTATTAGAGTCTAGTACATTTAATTGATGTATTTAGTCCCACACTGAGAACAATTGTCATGCTACTGAAATTTCAGCAAAAGCTCTCTGCACTATTAGAGTTCATATAATAAACTTTTAAATTTAAATACTCTCACTGGTGCAAGCTACAAACCTTATCCCCTGTAGACTGTAAGGGTTGAAATGGGAAACTGGCAGAATCCAGCACACTTTCAGACCAGGCAGAACTACTGTACAAATGTGCAACAGCCTGGGAAAGGAATAGCCAATCTGGAACAGTGGAAGTTTATTGCTGAGCTTGGCCTAAAGTTTGAAACAGATGTTCTTGATGTTCCTTATTAATCTTATCCAACATGACTAATGGTCAGAAATTATGGAAGTATAAATCCTATATTTTCTGAGGAGCTCCAGATTTACAATCCCTGTTTTAGGTAGCACTGCCAGATTTTTAATTATAGTTTATTATGCTAAGCCAGAAGCAAAGCAGATACTTATGGCTTTCTATTGTGTGTGAATCTGGTCGATACATTCTGTGCTGTTGTTATTACACAACAAATCATCTGCCTTTTAAAGGAGGGTAACAGTTCAACATTGTGACTAATCAACAATAGTTGATATAATTGTATAAATTTATAATGCCTTTTCAAACAAACCTGAATTATGACTACCACTGGAAAGTGGGAGCTCCACTAAAATGTATGTGTGTATGCGCCTTCAAGTCAGTGTTGACTCCTGGTGACTGCCTGGACAAGTCCCTGCAATTTTTGTAGCAAGATTTTGGAACTGGTTTGCCATTGCCTGCTTCCTAGAGCTGAGAGAAAGTGACTGGCCCAAGGTCACCCATCTGGCTTCGAGCCTAAAATGGGACTAGAACTCATGGTCTCCCAGTTTCTAGCCTGGTAGCCTTAACCACTACACCAATCTGGCTCTCCACTATAATGGGGGCCTCTTAAACCACTCAATGAATGATCAGAAAGAACTTTTGTTCATAAAGAGTATCGACACTTTTCTGATCATATAACAGAATAGTTAGGTTCAGTTTCTCTCAGAAGCATTTCTGGGTCTCTACCAACATAGCATTGTAGTGGTATATTTGTATTTTTTGCAGTGTCTGTAGAAGAGTACATGTTAGTGAAGTTCAGTATTTTATTTGTTATTTTAATGGATGCTAAACTGATAGCTGATAAACTTGTTGCTAGTGAGGACATTCGCTAATGCCTCTTCTGATGCTTATTTGAAAATAAAATTCCTGACAATCACTTTCTGAAATTTGGATTAATGTGCAAAATGTGTACTGTGAGTTTAAGCAAGAGGGTTATGAAAACAGTGATTCCATATGGAACATCCTGTTCATGTAAGTCAGGGTATTTTATGGTTGTTGCTATAAAGAACTAGTACTGATCAAAAATAAATACAGAACAAGAGTGCTGTCTTGGATAACATTCAGATTTTAGGAATTATGCAAAAGTAAACTCATTCTTCCCACTAAAATGTTTTACATTTTGGATGTATTTCCAACTGTTTTATTTTTAAAGTTTTAAGGTTCTATTGTTGTTTTACTACACACACACACACACAAAGTAAATGGCAATCTTACTTTTCTTTTTTGTCCAATCTAATCCTCAAAGAAATTATTACTATTATTCATGGAGGATGGAGGATATTGCACACATTCATTTATTGTTTTAAGTGGTCATGATATCAAGACATTTGAGAAGTCCTGTTCTATACAGAGCTGCTCTGGGTATGAGAAATAAATGAGTATATTCCACATGTAGCTGAAAATGGGAAAAGATGCGGCTGTTTTAAAGATTTGCAGGTAGGTGCTATGATCATGCCCTTGTATACTCTGAAGTACTTTTTTGGAATCAAATCAAAAGTGTTGCATAGCCCTCTTACAAATATAAATACATACCAATATATTAAATAATTACAGATGATGCCAAATAATAAAGAGTAACCCATGCTTAAATGATGCATATTCATCCCTACATGCTGAGCAGTAATGAACAAAAAAAAAAAGCCTTCCAAATCTGAGGTCAAATGATCAACTAGCATGAGTTCTCTGACTAGTTCTGAGCTCTTCATTCCAATCATATGACAAGTTCCATACAGGGCACAATAATAAAAATATTAAACATGCTATTGTGGAAGACTTCGATATACCTTTTCGACGGACAATGAATTCATATTTAGCTGGCACCAATGTGTCCAAGCTGATATTAATGGCATCCAGGCCAGCCTCCTTCAGCCGGGGTAACAGTCTGGCTAAATTGATCCCATTGGTTGTGACAGAGATAGTTTTCAACCCTTCTAACTTGCGCATCTGAGCTGAGAAAATACAGTGGGGACAAAGGATTAGCAACAGAGAGAACTGTATTAAACTGTAAGAACAGGTAAGCAGTATAGGGAGGAGGAAAAAATAACATGACACTTACATATATAATAAGATTTGGGGCATCCTAAATATATTCATGGAAATCTAGATCTATTTCTCTAAATTTGATGATATGCACCAAATGGTTTGCACCATTACCCATAATCAAGATGAAGGTATCAATATACCATATATACTTGTGTATAAACCCATCTACAGATAAGCAGACCCTCAAATTTTTAACCAAAATACCATGAAAGATGTGCCAGCTGTGGATAAGCTGACCTGCATTTTTCCTGGTATTTTGGTTAAAAATTTGAAGGTCTGCTTATCGACAGATGGGCTTATCTGTGATTATATACAGGAAATACAGGTATTTTTAAAAAGTATTACGGTATATTCTCGCATATAAGGCCATCTGCAGATAAGCCGAACCGGATTTTTTAGGTGCATTTTAACACAAAACTCTTGGCTTATCTGCAAGTATATATGTTATTCCAGGGGTCACAAGATGCATGCTGATCTTGGCTATCAAGTGTTTTTGTACAGCAGAGCAAACCTATAGATCTGCTTGAATTCTCAAAGTACTACCGCTAACATTCTCCCACAGTGTGACGTAAAGTATCTATAACAAGCATACCTATGATGTCCACCACATCAGGCCGGATGAGGGGCTCTCCTCCGGTCAAACGGATCTTGTCCACACCTTCCTTCACAAACAGCTTGGCAAGAGTGATGATTTCCTGAGTGCTCAACAACTCAGATCTGGGAGTTAGCTGAACTCCTTCCTCTGGCATACAATACTGACCTGAAACATGTAGTCAGAAGTTTTAAGACATGCCTGTTTCTCAAGTATTTTATGAGAAGCAAAGTTTATTTCCAAATAAGATTACAATATTTTGTTTTCCCACCCTTTTTAATGTACTTTTCTCTCCCATGAGCTGTAAGAAACCACAGAGAGGTGACTATGAATGAAAAATTACACAGACATCACAATATGCCACAGGCAACCACATTATATGCTACCGTCTCAGGAGCAAAATAGCTCCTGGAGGGGTCTTGAGATGTGGAGACTTCAGCTCCCTGAATTCTACAGGAAACATGGCCACTGCTGAGAATTCTGGGAACTTAACCTTAGCACTTCTGTAGGGTGCCCAGGTCGGCAAATGCTGCAGTAACTTTTGTGAATAGCAGTTCACTTCATTACATACATCTGATAAATTGGACTGTAGTTCCAAGATGTTTATGTCATAAAAATTAGTCTTTAAGGTGTTGTTCTTGTTATCCAGATACTTTTTAAATATATTTTTTATCCCGCTTTCATGCCTAAGGCAGGATTAGAACTCACAATTTCCTGGTTTCTAGCCTGGTGCCTTAACCACTAGACCAAACTGGCTATGTTCCATAACTAAAACAGATGAGTAGGAGAAAATTCCTAAAAGCGCCAACAGTTATTCAAATCTAACTTGTTACATGTTGCTTTAGTAATGAAAGTGATAAGAGTTCACTCTTTCAGGTTCCCAACTGCTCCAGGGGAAAGAAGACATGTTGTCCAAACAAGTTGGGCTAGAATATGTTTTGACACAACTGCTCATTTGTTGCATTCAACACTTTTGTTTCTAATTTCACAATCTAATTAAATCTGCAGGAAAGAAATGGCATCTTGGTCTATAAGACTTTGGCCCAAACAGCTTCTATTAGCCTGTGAAACAGCACCAATGAAACAAATGCAGTTTTGGGGTTGCAGTGTGTGGCATTGTGCAAATAAATCTTTACAACAGTTGCTTAACATACAGTATGTCCACTAATAAGATGTTATGAGAACAAAACTTGCATTTTATAACTGAACTTCTATTCAGAGTAGAAAGACTTACATCTGAGGTTGCATTTCTCAGTTAGGGAGATTCTCAGGTAGTTATGCTGGCGTCCAAAGCTATCAGTCAGGAAAGCAGAAAAAGGGAGAGCATGTTCAGATAAAAAGCGTGTTCTTCTTGGGACTGCAATTGCCTGTGTTACAAATAAAGTTATTTTCACTTTTGAGATTTCATGGAAAAGGTATTGATTCTATTGAATGTAGGAATGGGAGGGGGTGGGGAATATAATTAAGTGAAGGCAAGTAACTCAATCTGGAGTACCCAACGTATTGGCAAGCTCCTTTGCATTTTAAAAGACGTAACATTCTACATGCTAATACAGATTATCAGTACCTACACAAGAACTGATAGAACAAAGTAGGGCATGAATTTCTTAAATATATATTTATTATCTAGACATTAAAATCTTTAGGAGGTACTGTATGTCTAGTGAAAACACTAGAGAAGATCTTGTTGCTGGCTGCTCCAATTCTTTGGAATGCCTTATCAAGTCTCATCACACGAGATCATTCTCTGCTCTCAGGCATTTTTTTTTTCCAGTAAGAACTGTGATGTGTACCTAATTTGTGGCTTCTGGGGTTAGGGGGATATTTCATATCTTTATTATTTTTAGGGGTGTATTTAATGGACAACACTCCATTTTGCTCCCTTATTTGGCAAATCAGTTTGGACAACATTTGCTACTTCCCCAGACAATGGATATTCACTGTTATCAATAGTTTTTTCTGTTAGGCAGAGTGCAGATATAACCACCAGCGTTAGAGAGATTTAAAGAATGCAATGTCCTTATCTTGTTCTCTGAAGAAATCCAGCCAGAAGGTATAAAAT